AAATAAATAAATAAATAAATAAATAAATAAATAAATAAATAAATAAAAAGTGGTGCTTCCTTAAAAATTTCCTTTGATAGACTCCCAGGCACTTTCTGTGCCTTCTCTGCCCACCCCCCAACATGTGCCCCACCCTGTTGCTTCCCTATCCTATTCATAGCCATTTCCTCTCAAGGTGGGTCCTTCTCAGAAATCTGAAGGTTCATATTTGCTAGTGGCTTTTTTAGCTTGCCACCACTAGGGCCTCTGTGTATTCTCTGACCCACTCCCCCTTGCTCACCATGCTGTCTCCCAGTTGTCGCTTCCCATACTGGTTCTGCTGGCTTAGTGCTTTGGGCTGCAATTACATATTTTAGAGTTTGTAAGTTTTCTCTGTTCCTAGTTTCACTGGTAATTATAGTTCCTGTATGGGTTTTTGGGTTGTTTTCTAGGAGGAAAAGTGGGCAGACTAGAACTAGGCTGTCACCATATCCCTGCAAGAAACTCTCAAGATACCTTTCGGAGAGAAATGTGGTAAGAAACTAAAAGCAATCTAAAACATTAAGTGGCTATTTTTCTGGTGTGTATGTCCTGGCTTCTCTGCTGGGGTGTGAGCCTCTGGAGAACAGGAACTAGCCCCTGTGGTGCATGGCACAAGGTCCACCTTTACAGGCCATTGGCTAACAGTCACGGCAAAGCCCACTTGACTCTAGCCTTGCCCACCACATGCCCCTCCAGATACACGGCTCCCCATACTTGTTTCTGAAGTTGCACTGCTTAAGTTGCAAGAGCTTTTCCCATATCTGTGTTCTTTAGAGAGCAAAGTGGGAAGGCGTTGCTGATTGGTACTGTTCAGATGAAAAACGGGTATGAAGCCAGCAGAGGACTTGGATCACTGTTCTATCCCCTTCATTGTCCTAAGGCATTTGTACTTACCAGCTACACCAGGGAGCTAAGAGCTCCCCATTCTGTAAGCACCAGGAGGACCGTGAAGGGGACACGTTAGAGATGCTCTCAGGAGGTCTCCGGCTCTAGTGAGAGGAGGCAACACCCATACATTGGTTGGCTAACTTGCCTGTGCTTCCTCCAGAGCACAGACCCATTAGGCTCAGACTTCCAGATCTGGGAGCTCAATCCTGTGAAGCGTTCACCCTTTAACCACTCCCAACCCTTCCCTCTAACACAGACTTAGGAAGTTTCCTGCACTGAGTCCCATCTTTGTCTGGGGACATCACTTTTTTCTTATTAACGTCACTAACTCAAACACCTTCTGTTGTTTTTGCTTTTGTTGTTTTGTTTTTGTTTTACAAAAGCTGACTTCACTTGACCATTTTGTAATATTTCTTCCTCCCTTCCTGTCCTCTAAGCTGGTATGGATTAAAAGACAGTAGTCCTTTTATTGAAAGCACTTGCCTCCCCCCCCCCCCCAAAAAAAAAACCACTCAGGAAACTCAGAAAAATTCAAAAAAATTTTTTAACGAATTGCAAATACAAGCAAGACAGAATCACTGTGAGTGTGGGGAAGTAGAACATGGATCTGACACTCAGGAAGCTCACCAAAAGCAGCAGAAACTGGCTGCCGCTTACGCCTCCACACACGCACTCACACAGCTGCCGATGCCGGAGGACGCTCTCCTGGACTAGATAATTGTTTCTTCCTTCAGCAGTGTCTCCTTTTGTATTGAGCTCAGGTCTCCTCCCAGACTCTCCATATTCTCCAGGTGTATGACCCCTTGGGTCTCCTGGATACTCTGGGAATTGGGCAACAAACGGCAGCGAAGGCAGGCTGCTTCTTGAAAGAGGCAGATGGCACCTGGGTGACAGCAAAAGTTCAGGTCAGAGTTGAGTCAAGCTCTCCGTGCCCTAGAGGTCAGGCACTCCCTCCTTTAATGTGTGACCCCTTCCGGTCTGCACCCACCTTCCCTAGTTCTCCCCTCCGATGTAGAGAATTACAGAGATAGATGGGAAAACAGGACCCATCACAAGACAAGGCATACAAATAGATGGATAAACTCACAGAACCACAGCCAGTGTTGGAAGGCATCTTAGCAACTGTCTAACTATTAATAGGCAAGAAAAAGAGGTTTAAGACATAAAACCCAGGCTTTTTGAGGCAACTCAAGACCCTCAGTAAAGTAAAATGGAAGAAGAGAATTGATGTCATAGAACAAATAGAGGTATCTTGAGTGAACAGTAAATGCTGTATTAAGGTTAAGACTCAGATAAAGGACAACTTCTATTTTCAGCAATATAGCAGACTACATACCCTCCCACTAAAAACGACAAAAATTCTAAATAAGATTTTTCTTCAAAAACTAATTTGTAAATATATCAGCAAACTGGCATCAGAGTAAGGCATTCTTAGAAACAAAACCCTAGTGAAAACAGGAACCTAGAGAGTTAAGCAAGCACACAATTAGCCTTCACCTTGGAGACATACACTCAACTCCGGTGACCCTGAGTTTCCATTCTGCGGGCCTTTTGGGGCACAGAAAATGAGAGGAAAAGCCCAGGGCCTACTCAAGATGAATCTAACAAGGGTCTACAAAGCTAGAACTTTGAAGTTACCAAGATTGACTAAGAACTCATAAACAGAGGCTAGCTGTTATATGGATCTGCAACTACACAAATACCTATGTGATTCTAGGCTAGCTGTGCATATAAGCACCAAGCAGAAACAGATGCAGATCCCTTTTTGAGAAAATACTTTATATACAGGCTTCAAAGGATTTCCACCAAAAAATTTGTTTTTTCAAGGAAAATAATTCACAGTCAAAAATCACAATTGTACCAAGAAATAAGATGCCATAAGCAAAAGCCTGCAAAAGCAGCAGCCAACAGACAGAGACTTGTATTTCAGTTGTTAAACTTGTAAGACACAGAATGTAAAGTATGTTTAACATGCATAATAAAAATATATTTATAGAATAGATTAAAAATATAAGTAGAGAAAAGAGTATAAAAATTAACAAGCATTAAGGAAAAATATAACTTCTGGTCATAAAAACAGATTGACTAAAATAATTAATGGATAAGTTAAATAGCAGATCAGACACAGCTAAAAAGTGAATGGATTAAATTGAAGATACATCTATATAAGTTATTCAGAATACAGCCCAGAAAGACAAAGAGATAGAAGGGGGGAAAAAAAAGCAAAGAAATGGAAAGCAAGAGAGAGAGACACACACGCAGGATACAGTAACAAAGTCTAACATACGTCTTCCTGGAAAAGAGGGAAAGAATATAGAAAGAAGATAAAAATATTTGAGAAATTCTGAAAGACATTACTCCTCAGACTCAGTTCACACCACAAATCATAACACAAATATCTACACTCTGCAAAATGCCCAAGAAAGCCTTACAGAAAACAAAGAGTGCCTCAAAAAGAATGATATAGGGGTGCCTGGGTGGCTCAGTCAGTTGAGCCTCTGACTTCGGCTCAGGTCACGATCTCACAGTTCATGAGTTCGAGCCCCACGCTGGGCTCTGTGCTAACGGCGTGGGGCCTGGAGCCCGCTTCAAATTCTGTGTCTTCCTCTCTCTCTGCCCCTCCCCAGCTTGTGCTCTGTCTGTCTGTCTCTCTCTCTCAAAAATAAACAAACATTAAAATTTTTTTTAAATGATATATTGTTTAAATGTTTATTTATTTTTGACAGAGAGAGAGAGAGCACGCGAGAGAGTGGGGGAAGGGCAGAGAGAGAGGGAGACACAGGATCCGAGCATACTCTGCACTGACAGCAGACAGCCTGATGCGGGGCTCGAACTCACGAACCTCGAGATCATGACCTGAGCCAAAGTCTGACACTCAACCGACTGAGCCACCCAAGTGTCCCAAAAGAATGATATTTTTACAGAGTCAGATTAACAACAACAATGGAAGTGGTAAAGTAATAACAGAATATCTTGAATGCTGTGAGAATACTGTCAACTTAAAAATGTAAGTACAGCAGGCCGCCTGGGTGGCTCAGTTGGTTAAGCATCTTGATTTGGGCTCGGGTCATGATTTCGCAGTTCGTGAGTTTGAGAGTGGGATATTCTCTCTCTCTCTCTCAAAATAAATAAATAAACTTAAAAAAATACTATCTAAAAAAATGTAAGTATGGCAAAATTAATTTTAGTAAACAAAAATGAAAGGAAGATAATTTCATACAAACAAAATATGAGAGAAAGTGTATCTCTAACTGAACCTCACTAAAACACATTATAAAGGATGTATTTCAGGCAGAAGGACAGAGGGTCCTTAGACAGAAGGTCTGAGGTTTGATGAGCATCTAAACTGATAAATATGTGGGTAAATTTAAACAAATAAATATTAAATGCATAAAGTAACAATACTGTCAAATATACAGAACTAAAAAGAAAACAGAAGAAACTAAAACATTGTGCAAAATAGCATATAAATTAGGAGGGAAGTACCTTGTATTACTTATGAAGAAAATAAATGTGTTGATGAACTTCCAACTTTGTTAAGTAAGTGTATTAAAATGTCAAGAGTAACTACTACAAGAATACAAATAGATTCCATAACTTCCAAACTAAAGAGGGGGATGATATAATGAGAAATGTATAGATAAAAGTCAATCAATTAGAAGCAAGGCAAGAGAGGTGGGACTGGGGAGCAGAAAAAATTGAAAGCACGAGGTAAGGTGGTAGAAAAAATACAAATATGGGGCACCTGGGTGGCTCAGTCAATCAGGTGTCCAACTCTTGATATTGGCTGAGGTCATAATCTCACAGTTCTTGAGATCGAGCCCCACGTTGGGATCTGCACTGGCAGTGTGGATGGAGCCTGCTTGGGATTCTCTGTCTTCCTCTCTCTCTGCCCCTCTCCCACTCTCACTCTCTCTCTCTCTCTCAAAATAAATAAAATAAACTTCAAAAAAAAGGACCAAATGTGTCAGTAGTCACAATAAATGTCAGTCAATAATAAATGCTCCAGTTAAAAGACAAAGAGTGTAGGGGGAGCCTAAGTGGCTCAGTGGATTAAGTGCCCGACTTTGGCTCAGGTCATCATCTCACAGTTCGTGAGACTGAGCCCTGAGTCAGGCTCTGTACTGAGAGCTCAGAGCCTGGAGCCTGCTTTGGCTTCTGTGTCTCCCCTTCTCTCTGCCCCTCCCCCGCTTGTATTCTCATTCTCATTCTCTCTCTCTCTCTCAAAAATAAATAAACATTTAAAAAAACAAAGATTGTAAGACTAGATGAAAAAATACAATCATAAGCTATGTGTTACATATAAGTAAAAGATCAAAAAGATATAGAACAGGCAAATATTGACCTAAAGAATGTAGAAATAGCTAGAGTAATATCAGATAAAACAGACTTTAACAAAAGGGATTTCTAGAAATTAAAAAGATCATGGCATAATGATTAAATAAAAGTTCAATTCACCAGTAAAACAGAACAATTCTAAATCAAGATTTGAACAATATAATAAACAAGCTTGATCTGATGTTTATAAATGAAAAGTTGTATTCAACATAAAACATGAAAGTGGACCTCAGACTAGACTATAAAACATGTCTCAATAAATCTGAACACATTAGGATTATACAGACCATGATCTCTCATCAAATTGAAATTAAGTTAAAATCATTAACACAAGATACAGTAAAAAATTATATGCTTAGAAATTTAAAAGTATATTTTAAAATACTTCATGGATCCAAAATATCATAAGGGGAACTGGAAAATGTTTGAAATAGAACAATAACATAAAATATTACATATGAAAATGGGAGATTCAAATAAAGCAATTCTCACAGGGAAAATAGAGCTTTACTTGTCTACTTAGAAAAGAAGAAGTAAGCCATGAGTTTAGATCGTGATTTTTTTTTTAATTTTTTTTAACGTTTATTTATTTTTGAGACAGAGACAGAGCATGAACGGGGGAGGGTCAGAGAGAGAGGGAGACACAGAATCGGAAGCAGGCTCCAGGCTCTGAGCCATCAGCCCAGAGCCCGACGCGGGGCTCGAACTCACGGACCGTGAGATCGTGACCTGAGCCGAAGTCGGACGCTCAACCGACTGAGCCACCCAGGCGCCCCTAGATCGTGATTTAAGAAGCTGGAAACGGAATAGCAGAATAAATACAAAAAAGAAGTAGGGAAGGAAGTTCAAAATAAGAAGTAAAAATTAATTCAATAGAAAACAAACATAAAATATGAAGGTTCAAGAAAGCTTAAACCTGGTTCTTTGAAAAGACTAAAAATATGGTAAACCTCTGACAAAATTGGCAATGAAAAAAGAGAAAACTGGGTATGAAAAAAGAAGCACATCACTACAGGTGCATCACAAAATAAAGAGTTAAAAAAGAAAACATTTTGAATAAACTTATGCCAATAAATTTCAAATTTTAAACAAAATGTATAAGCTTATAGACATATATAAATTACTGAAACTAACTCAAAAGGAAATAAAATCCCTGAATAGTCCTATAGTCATTTAAGAAACTGAATCGTGAGCTTAAAATTCTCCCACAGAGAAATACCATATTCCTTCTACAGGCAAGCTTAGTTATACAATTAAATACTTAAGATGGTAAAAATGAATGAACCTTAAGAGTTCTTCATATTACCATGGAGGTTACAATGTTGATCAAACATAACAAGTTCCAGAAAAATAAATATAGTATGATTATACAAAGTTTTAAAACATGTAAGACTAAGTAATATATTAAGGATATATATGTGTGTAGTAATATGATTATCATCAATTGCAGAATAATTGGTTCCCGAGGGGAGAAAGGAGGACAAGATCAGGAAGAGCGACATGGTTGAGGGGGCAGGACTTCAAAGATTCTTAATATTCTAACATATTTCATTAATGCAGACAAGCCAATATTCTTCACTTAACATCTCTGAAATAAGGATGTGCCTTACAAGTTATACCACCTTAGAATTATTCCTAGCATCCTTTTTTCTCTTTCAGTGGTAAATAAAATAAAGGTGTAACTTACAAACAATGGATTCCATGAAAATATGGCTAGTTCTTAAACTATATGGTGGAAATGGGTGCACAGTTTATTTTTAATTACCTCTTATATATTATAAATGTTTTTATATATTCAGTGTATAATAAAATCAAGTTAACACAGATTATGTCATGGGTCAGATTAATATAGTAGGAAGAAGATTAGGAAAAAGGACAAAATCAAATAGGATCGGGACTTAGACGGTGATGGTATATAAAATAAGAGAGTAAAGCGAGACTGAGGTGAATAAGATTGTAGATTCCGAGACAGAGATAGAGATAGGCATAGAAACCCTTAGGAGCCAGGACAGAGTAAGACAGAATATGAGATCTGGAGGTTGGTTCCAAAGTCAAAGAGGAGGAAGATGGGCTATAGGGCTGAGGCTCTAGAGCAGTGCTGTTGAGTAGAACTTCTGCAACGATGGAAATATCTGCATCTGCACCATTCAATATGGCAGCCACTAGACACATAATAATGTGGTTACTGAACATCTGAAATGTGGCTAGCATGACCGAGAAACTGAATTTCTATTTATTTCATTTTAAGTAATGAAATGGCCACAAGTAGCTAGTGACCACAGTTTTGGACAGTGTTGCTCTAGAGTGTCCATGGCTTCTGAATCCAGACGGAGGGCAGGGAGAAGGGCACTAGCCCCAGGACACTCACCAGCCACTATGAACAGAAGGATGGCAAAGCCCAGAACGTAGTAAGGCCACTGCACCGAGAACTTGGGGGGGCTGGGCTTCATCCTCAGATTCTGGATCTCCAGGGCATGCAGCAACAAGGCCAGGAAGGCACTGGCCCCTGCAGGGTCATAGGGAAGCACTCTTGATCTCCTCACATGGTTCCCACCTTTGCTCTTAATCAGACAGAGTCACATGGCTTACAGCCTGTATGGTTCCTACATGGAGGCTCCTTTCTCCAGCCCACACCTGTGCCCTCTCAGAGTCAATAACCTCTACCCCACATGCCTGTCTTGCCCTCCTTCCCAACACATTTCAAAGCCCATGTGCCTCACCTCCCAGAGGCCCCATAACCAGAAAGCCCTTTCCCGGGTACCCTCTGTGCCTGTGCCATTGGCTGACTCCAGACGGGGCCCTCTGGGTGTGATGCTTTGGGTGCAATTCAACCTGATTTTCCCACTGTGAGCGTTCCACCTCCTCCATGTGATGGGAGCCTCCCAGGGTAGGGCCTTGGCCAGCCTTTTAAAGTCAAAAGGTTCCAAAGGGCAGAGATGGTGTCTTCCATCCATTCATCCAACAAACACTTATATTTCACTCACATATTTCACTTGTGTATTATCATTCTGTGTCAGATTCTATGAAAGTCACTGGGATAGAGATTATGGTAAAAAGACCCCCAGACAAATGACCCCAAGCCAACATAGTGAGGGTGGAGCTAGCTGGAAGTACAGGATGCTGTGCAGCCTCAGAGAGAGGGACTGTGATCCGGGGTGGGGGGGAAGGCTGCCTCAGAGAAGGCCACAGGTGAGAGGTCCCTAAAAATTCTCTCTCCTGACACCACAGAGACCAACCATCTCCCTGCCTTTGGGCCCCTCCCCAGCCCCTTCCCAAGGCTGAGGCCTGCCTGACAACAAGGCTTGCCTGCCTGTTCCACACCTGTGAGGAAGCTGATGAAGGCTGACACCAAATTGTGCTTCCGGGTCCTCGGAAACAGCTGAGATGCAAAGGACACCAGGATGAAGGTGGTGAGGAAAGACAGGACAACCGCGGACAGCAGGAAAACGCGGCCGAGAATGATGTACACTGTGGGGGAGGGGAGGCTGGGCTGCAGCTGGACACCTGACCCGTGACAAGGGACAGAGCCCCGCAGAGCCTGCAAAGAGAAGCCCCCCAACCAGCTTACCACCCTCAGTCCCACAGCATGGCCTGGGACCCCAGCTCTGACCCCTCCACTTTGCCCCCAACAATGAATGCTCTGGTTCCAACATTTTGTTCCCCGTGACATGGAAGTGTGTGGGGAAAAAAAATTAGATGGACAAACAGTCATTTTGGTAAGCAACATAAATGGTACAAGTTGCATGTGGAAATGTGAAAAACTCCATCAATACTGGTCACACTGAAATAAGTGGCTAGTGGAAAATCAGAACCTGTGAGGTTGAGATGTTCTGAACTCTGTGGGGAATGCTTATTTAATTATCCCAGTTAACACAAGTCATGAAATAGATCCAAAATAGCAGAGCAAGGGACTTGATGACAGGGTGATTTATTCCCCTATTATTGGCATGATTCAGACCCATGTTAAAATGAGGTTTTTAGGGTTTCTTTGGGGGGGGGGGTGGTACAAAAAAAGATGATTTTATTAAAGCACGGGGACAGGACCCACGGGCAGAAAGAGCTGCCGTTAATATGAGTTTTTATAGCCTTCTAAGCACGCAGAGATGGACAGCTGGGGGTGGGACAAAAAGACAAACATATCACTAAACTCCTAAGACAAAGGTATCGCTAAACTTCTAGAATCTACTCTTAGGCTAAACCAATGGTTTTCAACTGGAGGCAGGTTTGCACCTCCTCACCCCGGGGATATTTGGCAATGCTAAGAGGTAAGTTGGTTGTCACAACTGAGGGTAGGGGGTGCTACTGGCATCAAGTGGGCCGTAGAGGGCAGGGGTGCTACTAACTGTCCTGCAAACAACAGGAGAGCCCCGCAACAAAGATTTTCCAGCCAAAGTGTCAGTAGTACCGAGGCTGAGCAACTCCAGGTCAAGGAGCTCACACAGTGTGGCCCATCTTCCCCCAAAGAGGCTTCTCCTCTTCTGTTATCAGGAGAGAACCCCTATATCCCCCAGGTTCACCTCCTTTCCAAGACAGACATCCCCCTGACCCTCTCAAGCCCCTTATAAAAACACAGCCTCAAGTGCATCCACAGTCCACTGAGCTCATATTTCTGTGCATTCCCTTCGAAATGTCCTCAGGCCTGAGCACATTCTCTGTAGAGCAGCCACCCACAGTCGGACGGGCGTTTGGAAGTGAGGCTGAAATCCAGCCTCACAGAGTAGGGCAGGACCCCCGCCCCTCCATCCTAGATGGAGCCAGCCCTACCCCGCAAATAAACTTTGTTGCTGACACATTTGCTCCTGACCCTGGTGGTCAACCTGATATTATCAACCTTCTCCTGGCCACTACTTTCCTCTAACCCCAAAAGTAGAGACTCAGAAAATGCCCTTAGGGGCTTATTAAATTCTGTCCTCTCTGTCACCCAAACTGCCCACACTGGCCCATCTCCCTCTGCCCCATCCCCACCTCCATCCCTCCTTACCTGATAAGGGTCGAGGCTTCCAGCATTTGATATGGAAACAGTTCTCAAACAGGCCACTGAAAAACACTTCGTGGGACTCCTCGTTTACAAGCCGCACCCAGAAGGGAAAGATGGAGACCAGCAGTATAAGCAGGTAGCCCAGGGAGGTCAAGGCTGGGGCTATGGCCCACGTGAACCCCTTCATGTCCTTGTCCTCCAAAGTCAGCATCACCTGTTCAAGGGAAAAGTGAAGGCTTCTCAAGTGGAACACAGGGAAGGAGATGATGCCTACACAAACGGTAGCACATATGTGAGGCTCGGGAAATGGTGATTTCCTTGCCTGGATAAACTTTACAGCCTCACAGACTTCTTCAGCAGACCTAAAAAAATGCATAAAACATTTTTTTTGCCGCTAAGTCACTGGGTGATCTTGGGTAAGCAGGGTCCCTTCTCTGAGCCCTAATTTCCACCTCAATAAAATGAGGACGTTGGAATGGGCCATCCCCGAACCCTTCCAACCCTAAAGTTCTCACTGCTCAGTTCTGTTAACTACCACCCACCTACAAAGACCCTCTCCACTAAGCTTGGCAGGCAGCTAACAGTTAAGAGCTTTGGGGATTTCAGAATGATGATGAGAGAGATAATAAGGCTGGGGTCTGAGGTGCAAAGCCCTCAGTGTGAGGGGTTGCTCTCTCCAGTCCTCATCCTGTGTGAACACCCATGCTCAGGCCCAACACCTGGAGAGGCTCCAATGCAGACCCCCCAAACTGCAGCCAGGGCAAGGAGAGTCTCTAAGGCTGCGGGACCTGCTGATCACCACAAACAGGACCAGCCTAATGGCGGAGGGTGGAGTGTGGATGCCCTCCTGCACCTCCTACCCAAACACGCTGTGTATAACCAGGTACACAGAGTGCTCTTCGAGCGCTGGCAGAGTGGTTTGGAAACATCCCAATGTGCTTTCACCTCCTTCCTGTCACTACTTTTTCTTGTTCCCACCGAACCAACTTCATCCTTCCCTCTCTCCAAAGCTCCCCTTTAGACGCTCCCTCCACCCTCCAGGCCTCACTGATGAGTCACTTGAACTTCAGGGCCCCAGTCTCCTTTGCTCTCAAATGATGGAGTCGGTTGGCCCGGAGAGCAGTCCTAGCTCTAAAACTGTCCGGTATAAGTCATGGCTACATCTTGACCCCCCTGCTCTGGGTGGGACGGAGGACACTGGACATTGTCTTTCGATGGTCTGTGTCCTGCCTACACCCCCCCCCCCCCCCCCCGCACAACCTCAATTTGTCTAAAACCGCCCTTTGTGTTTTCCCCATTTCAGCCATTCTCCATCACCACATGCTGGCGTGGAGCGCGTGCCAGCCTCTCCCTCTCTCCATGTCCCCATCTCATCCGCCTTCCTTGTCCTCCCAGGCTTCCTCTCTGAAAGTCCCCACACCCACACTGTTCCTGCCCCATGCCCACAGGTCTCCCTCCACTCCTAGAATACCAGAGCCATCCCCAACTCCTCCAGCCTCCTTCCCCACTTTCCTCCTCAAAGCCCAACTCTCCTGTGAAGCTCAGCCTGGTCCTCGCCACTGCACACAGCCCTCCCAGCCACCAGCCACTATCCATTCCCTCCACACTTACAGGACGCCCCATGACCAGCTTAGGCCAATGGGGGTGATTCAGGGATGAAAACAGACAGGAACTCGCAGGCTCTTGGTAACTGTGGGGTGAGAGACACAAAAACACGTCACAAGGTGCAATGCTTTCTTCTCCCCTGCCTGGCTTACTTCAGGGCCAGGCATACCCCAGTCCTATCTTCCCCCCTGCCCAGCTGCTCACCAGTGAGAAGGACCTTCGGAACAGCTCTTAGCACTGGGCCTGGATGACTGCGCCCCACAGATATACAACTTGTGGGGTGCATCATTGATCTAGGCCAGACTCGAAGGACCATAGACCTGTTAATATGACAGGGGATTTGTACATCCTTTTGTAGTGTTGAAACAGAGCAGGAGAGAAAGACCCACCACTGGTCCAGGATCCCAGTCAGTCAGCCCTGGGGCAAGGACCAGAATCCCACATGGCTGCCTCTCCCACCTCAGCTGACCAGGCCAGCAGTTTAGTTTGGAATTTAGTGGCCAGTGAATTCTTCCTACTAGGTAAGCTCATTTGCATGTGTGAGAAAGGGAGAGTGGGGGC